ATCAACTTTAGGGAGCAAGGATCAGTTCTGTGACCCCATTGGGTGGTACATAACAAATGTTCAGTAAACATCACTGATTAAGCAGATAAATGTGCAATGCACACTTATGAGACACAAGAAACAGAGAAAAACCTCTCCTCCTTGGAGTGGATAATACATATCCCTGATTTGAGCAGTGGCTGGGGCTGAGGGCTCAAATGTTTGAGTTCATATGATGCTGGGTAGTAGAAAGCTACAGTTGAAGGCCAAGGGGTTTGAGTTCATATGACGCTGGGTAGGTCACTCAGCACTGGGAGCCTGCCCACTCCTAAAATGAAGAAGGGGATTTAGACAAGATGCTCCTCAATTCCTTAAATTGGGGATTCTGTACAAACCCAATATCACTGTACTAAGTACTCAAATTGCAGCTTGAGGGGTTATGGGCTGGGCCAGGAGCCCCAGCTTATCTTCCCACTCAGTGCACAAAAGATCATCTCTGTAGTGAGGATAGGGTAGGGAAAGGGGTTAAAGTAAATGTTTTCTGGTTTAAACCCCTAAATCTAAACTTTCATTAAGTCGAAACCATTGGCTAAAGTTAAATTTAGTCACAGCAAACACATCATAAACTTTTTAAAAAGAGTCCTAATTTAAAATATTTCACCTCAATCCTTCATTCAGCCAATATTTAATAAGCCCTATTATGTGCCAGGCAGTGGTCCACAAGGGAACCAGGCAAGACACAGCCACCTTCTAACACAGAACAGCTAGTTTAGTAGGGGAGACAGAAAACACACAAGTGAATGACCAAATGAAGATGACTTTAAATGGGGTTCTGAGCAGAGACCATTCAATAAACAGCTCTGTGTGGAAGAATGCGACTACAGCAAGCTCCTCTTTAGAAGACTTCTCTTTTAGAAGGCTTCTCTTTAGAGGTGATCCTTAGGCTGAGACCTTAAAGTCCCCTGGGAAACAAAGTGTGGAAGAACATTCCAGGGGGAGGGTATAGTAGGGGCAGAGCCCTTGAGGCTGCAAACAAGCTTGTGGGATTCACAGGACAATAACGGTATCCAGAGCAGCTGTGAAGGGAGGAGGGACTGGTCTTAGGGGACACTGAGGGCGGATCGTGGTGGGCAGGGTGGAGACGGTGCTGCCAAGGGTCTGTGGACAGAGGGAGACATCACATGGCTTTTCACCAACTTCTAACTGAAAATTAGCACTTCCTTTGATCATGAATGCAGACAACGGCCCACAGCAATGTGAGCAGTGCCTGGGACTTGTCACCAGCAGAAACCACACATCCGCTCGTATCACAGTGGCTACAGATATCCAAAAATACCACTTTGGCTCATCACAAATGCAGAATCACAATAGCTATTAGACCAGCTGTTAAGACCTTGTTATTTCAACTATTAACAAAGACTTGCACGTACATGTCTATATTTTACACTTTAAAAGTATTTAATAACTGAATTTGAAACTGCATTGGTTTCCTTGGTAACCCTGTGTATTCCATTTTGCATATGTAAAAGTGTTATTCTGAAAAGGGGTCTGTAGCTTTACCCACAGTACTTTTGCCACCCACAATCTACTACCCACTAGTTGGAGTTAGAGATCTACTCCATGCAGGGTAGAGAAATGTCTGGGGGAAGGGGACTCAACAGAGGAATGACTGTCATTTTCCAAAGCCACCTGGGGACTGGGCAGATAGAGGAACTGGTGGCTGCTTGGGGCAGAAGAGGCTATGGTTTTCACTGACCATTGTTCGAGATGATTCCAAGGAGGCAGCATCCCAGGGGCCCTTGAGGGCTTGGTCCTTCCCTCTGATGTGGAACCTTCCACTGCACCACTCCACATTGCCCACTGGGTCTGAAGGGGCCCTGAAACCTTGGCACAAATCCTGCCCTGGGACATCTTCCCAGAGAGCTTCAGAAAGTGAGCTCATGTGTCCACAAGAAAAACAAACTTGCTGTTTGCCACTGTTTGGTTTGTGTATTGGTCTAGAAAAGAAATGGGATTTTTATTTAAGAAGGTCTTCCAGCAGGACCCCAGCAGCGGCTGGGCAAACACCACGGCGACAGACTATAAACAGGCAGAAGGCCCAAGCCCTGGCCCAGGCCCATGCGCAGCAGCCCCTCAGCTTACATGGGGCTTCCTGTTTTTCCCAGTCTCTTCCCCACTGCACGAACACCAGAGGCTTTTCAACACCCTCTCAGAGAACCAAAGCATCATTCCCATATACTGTCAGGCATAGCTGTCATCCCCAGAGGTATGGGCCCCACCAAGAGGCCTGCGGATGGACCCAAACGGAGTGGAAGCTGTAGGGTAAGGGATCGTGGACAGAGAGAAGCTCAGAAGAGAATCTTGTCCTCCTAGGTCCCCAGACTGGAAGTGAGCAGGGTAGGGAAGGCACTAGAAGGTGAGGGACTGTCAAGAAGCCCCTGGAGAGGAGGACACAGTGAGAGTAACTGAGCTGGGTAGGGCCAGACCTAAGCAAAGATAGCTCCCCTCAGGGAAGTTGCACGCCCTCAGAGGAGAGAAAGGGGATGCTGGCCTTTGAATCCAGAACTAGGTTGCTATGAACTGAATGCCTGTGTCCTCAAAGCACATATGGTGAAGTCTAACATCTAACACAATGGTGTTAGGAAGGGAGCCCGGATGAATGGGATCAGAGCCCTGACAGGAAGAGGCATGGAAGTGTGCTTCCTCCTATGCAAGGATATGGGAGGCCATCTGCAAACCAGAAAGGGGGCCATCATCTTGGACTTCCAGGCTCCAGACTGTGCAAAGCGACTGTCTGTTGTTTGACACGCCTAGCCCATGTTGTTTGCAAGAGTGGCCCGAGCTGACTAAGATACAGGTTAAGTGAGAACAAAGTCTGAAAGTGGGTGTGCCACTGCAGGTGTGAACAGAAGCAGCACGTCTGCGCTGCGCCCACGGCTTCCCAGCTGTGCTATCTGCTTCTTTCTAGAAAGAACAGGTTGGCTCTTCCCCCTCCTTGCCACTGCCCCCAAGGGCAGGAGTTAAGGGCCTTTTTGTCTGCATCCACTAGTGCATCAGGCTTTGCTTCCCCAGCACCCAGTCAGGGCCATAATAGAGGCAAAAAGGAAAACTTGGGGAGTTCTGTATTCCTTGGGTTCCAATGTCCTAACCCATCTGCCTTCTCTCCACCTTCTAGAATCTTCTGTTTGCTTTACTCAAGTCTAGGTTTTCAACTGCCCTTGGCAGGAAGGATAGAGAACACTGTATCTATTCCCTCTTGTCTGGAACCAGAAATCTTTGTATTTTATATTTTTGTTTTTCATTTTTAAGAAGAATATAAAACAAATACAGCAATGCATGCAGGCTTTGTTCACCTCCAGGTACGTGCTGCTCCAGGACTCTTCTGTCAGAAGCTCTGCATGAGCTCTGCGTTCACTCTTACCTCGTCACTCATTCTTTCCTTTGCACTGGTTCACCCGTGTAACATCTACCTTACCTTCTGTAAACCAGGTGTCAACCACACAATGGCGAATTCAAATGATCAGTCCCTTTTCCACAGTCATTCATACTTGTGGGACAAACAGACGTCAGATAATAGCCAATGAGCAAGCTTTTGCAGAAGAGGACTGGATGCTCTGAAGGACCCTGGCCAGGAAATCAATTTACATTCAGGGCCTGTGGGAGGCTTCTCTGAAGAGGTGGCCTTCAGATCTAGCTGTGCCCCATAGAGCACTCCACCTGCAGATGGTACAGCTGAGAAGTAAGAGGCTTCCCAGTTGTGGGTTTGAGGGCAAGGCACCACTCAGGTGACCCTGACCTAGCCCAGGTTACCTATCTCTCTGCACTGTTCCCTCTTTCTGGATGTTTTCCTCCCATTTCAAGCTCTCATCTCCAATTCAACACTTTAGAAAGGTCTTTCAGATCTGGCCCAAGAAAGAAGTGTAGGTTGTTCCCTGGGGGCCACAGTGAACAGGGATTGAAGTGACATCCTCTGCTGGGAGAAGTCTGGCCTCTGAGTCCAGAAATCTGGGCAAGCCAGAGAGTAGGCAGAATGAAGTAAGCCTATGGATGACAGGTTAAACCCTATGTAGAAACTGCTACAGGCCAGGCCACATGGAGAAGCCATTCGGGAAAGCCAAAGAAATAGCTATAAGTAGCCTCATGTTCCAGAGCAGGCACAGAGTAGCTTACCCAAAGCCCTGGGTAGAAGTCCCCAAGACTGCTGAGCCTCCACAGCTCTGGGTAACGGAGCCATCCTGCACCCAGCCCTCAGCAGGCCTGAGTGTCAGAAAATGTGGTTAACTTGTACACATGACCCTAGCAGTCCTGAGCAGATAAAGTGGAGCTTTCCTGTAGCAGAGTGGGTGTGCCCACCCCAGGGTGCACAGAGGAGAAGAGCCAAGACCCAACCCGAGTCAAGGAGCCCCATTATGTCTACTGCCTAGAAATTCTCATCTACTTAGCCTGGCTTCCTTTCCTCTGCTATGGTCAGAGTGGGGCTGGAGACAGACCCATTTGATGTGTTTGCTATGCCCTCCCCCACAGGAGCTGAGCCCTTAGCTGCTGTTAGAGGTGGCCATGTGAGGCCTCGATAAAGAGGAAGGAACTGAGCCACTGGGCTGGTGGCTCTATGAGCACCAGCCTTCCAAATGCAGGGGAAGAGGTGCCTAGAGCTGAGCTGCCCTCTGAGAGAAGATACATGGGATCCAGGAAAGGTGGGAAGCTCTGTCTAGGAACTTAGGGCTGGTCCAGGCCCTTCTCTGCTTTCCCTTGAGCTTGGCAACTGTGGACCAGTTAAAGAACCACAGTTGTCTCAATTTCCTCTTCTGGAGTAAAATAACAGCACCAGCCTCAAGGGTAACTGGGAAGTGACAGTTCATCCCGCCACATAACAAATACTGATGTTATGAGGTTGTGCCCTTAGGTCTGTTAGCAAAGATGTCAGATGGAGTTGGAATTAGTGTATCTCCTTAGATGAGTCGCACTGGATTGACAGTACATAGAGTTTGGCAGTTAATCCCAAGGCAGTGGGGCTAGCTTACCTATCGTCCTTCGGAGATCTTCACACTGGCTGATGTGAGGGAACTTCAAGATTTCCTTCCACTTTTTGCTCTTCCCTTTGCGCTTTCCTCCGCCCCCTGTAGAGATGATGAGAAAGATGTTGGTGCTGCCCAATGCTCCAGAGCCTGTGTCCCACCCCCACAAGCCTCTCCACCAGCTTCCTGGGTTGGGAGGTGGTAAGGGCTCTAGGTCAGGCCAGCAATATACCCTAAGCACAAAACACACACGCACACACACACTCTTCCCAGGCACAAAAATCAGAGTTTTCTGCATGTCTGACCAGGGCTCCCCCTACCATAGCAGAGAGCTCCTTGTACCCCTCCCGAGACACCAGCCAGCCAACAGCTGGCCTCCTCTCTTGCTCACCATGATCCAGTCCACTGGTCCTGGAATCAAGGTCCCCAGGTTAGAACTAACCTTACCATGGCAAAGGAGAGATCTGTTGCATCTAAACGCCACCTCTGCCCCCACCACCGGGGCCCATGGTCAATCCTCTTGGTGCAACTCCAGAAGCCCGAAGACTACAACCCCTTCACTGCCCTCACTTGTCCGCTTGTTTCCTATGGAAAGTCCTTGTCCTCAGCTGGGGTCAGATTTGCAGGACGAGGACTTCAATTTCCGCTTGTCTTGGGTACTCATTCCTTCTCATGAACCCAGAGTCTCACAGGACACATGTCCCAAGGCTGGAAGACTCCTGAAGGCCTATCCTACCCCATATCCTCCATTATGTGACGATGCTGGCTCATTTTGTCAACTTGACACCAACTAGAGACACCTGAGAAAAGGGACTCTCACTGAGGAATTTCCTCCATCAGATTAGCATAGGGCTATCCCTGTCTGTGGGCTATTTTCTTGACTGCTGGTTGATGGGGGAAGGCCCAACCCATTGTGGGCAGTGCCATCCTGTGCAGATAGTCCTGGGCTGTATAAGAAAAGTAACTGAGCAAGCCAGGAAGAAGCAAGCCAGTAAGTGGCATTTCTTCATGGTCTCTGCTTCAGTTCCCACTTCCAGGTTCCTGTTTCAGTTCCTGCCTTGACTTCTCTCCATGATGGATGTGGCCCATAAAATGAAATAAACCCTTTTCTCTTCAAGTTGGTTTTGGTCAGTGTTCTATCAATGCAATAGAAAGCCAGACTAGAATAGTGACTATGTAATACACACACACACACACACACACACACACACACACACACACACACGCACATACACACACATGCACGCATGCACGCACACAGAGCACCCACAGGAGAACACAGAGTACAATGAGGGCATAACACAGGGTGTTTCTATCTCCCCTACTCCTCCTTATTCATAGATGATGGACAGACACTCAGGCCAACAAATGGCAGTGGAGCTCTACCCCTGGACCAGCGCATCTCTTCTCTCATTCCACCAGCATAGGCACCTTGGACCAGGAGGCACTTTTGCCATGTTTCTAGGGCCTCCAGAGACTAACATCCTGCCACTCCCACACCCTGGAATAGCCATATCTGTTAGTTTATCTACTCTCTTTCGTTTTTATTTTTTCAATGCTAGGATTGTACGCAGGGCCTCACCCATACTAGACAAATGCTTTGCCATTGAGCTACATCCCCAACATCATCAGCTAGTTTTTCACCAAGGTCATGTGGACCTTTGTGTTCCCCAGCATCTCAGAATGTTAAGGGTCCTTTCCTTTCCTTCAGGGTACAAGGCACAGTCATGGCTCCCTGCTCTGAGTAAGCAGCTTCTCTGCTCTTTAACCCTCCTAAGAAGAGTCTGGGCAGGACTGGAACCTTCCTCCCACAAACCCAGGGCCACTCCCAGGACAGCCTGGCTAGTCATCACCATGCTTTGGCCCAGTGTTCCTCCCTGCTCATAATAGGACAGCAACCTCAGCCTCTGTGGGTCCTCCAAGCAACCCAGGGATTTCCCTGTTGGGCACACAGGCATAGCAGCAGACACAGGGCAGAGCCAGGGATTCTCCACTACCACCATGATGGCCTGCTCAGTTAAGTGGGCTGGCTCTCACCAGAACCCCTTCCTGCTAACCAGGAAGCAGAGGAGCTGATGGGAACAGAGCAGGACCTAGGCCCATTCCTCCGCTCTCTGTTTATCCTGCTTTCAGTATACCAGGCCCAGGTCCTTCCTCTCAAGTCTCAGTAGGTAGCAAAGAACTCGAACTCCAAAGGACAGAACAGTGTGTCCTGGGCCCCTGCCATGGAATTTTCTAAGGAAGAAATCACAGGCCCATGTTGCAAGTGAAGAAACAAGATGTCCTGGAGTGTGTAACTCATCAGCTGATGCCTGTCCCACTCTGTTCACTCTTTTTCCCATGGAGCCTGCACTCATATGTACACATACAGACACAGACCCCTACATGCACACATGCACGAAAGAGCCCTTCTTCTGGCCCTGCACTGGTCTGAGCCCTTACCTGCACCCTCCTGCACTCTTTGCCCTCGAATATTCTACACAGTAGGAACTATTATATTCCACTTGAGAGAGAAAGAAACCAAGGCATGCAGTAGAAAGAAGTCACCTAGGTTCACTAAGTCCACACAGCTCATGTATGGCAGAGCTAAGACCTCAGCTGAGCACAATTCTGAACCAAAGCTCCTGTCCCCACTGGTCTGATCCTCTTGGAAGTTCGGAGGATCAGAAGTTCAGAAGGAGAACTGAGGGTCAGAGCTCAGACACAGCATTCAGTAACAGGCAGAACGGAGGAGAGGGGAAGACCTAAGCATGGGAGCTCCCGGAAAGCCACAGACCAGACCAGATCCCTGTAGAGTTCCTTCTGTTAGACCCAAATGTGGTTTGCTTATTTGCTTGCTCTTCAACAAACCAGTTACTAAAATTTAAACATGAGAATACTCCACATAAAACCCAGATTTTGGACTTCTTGACCATAGCCAGGTTTCTCACATAGGAAGAACAAGCTGAATCTGAGCAACAGCTGCCCCAGGGACAGGACACAAGGACCCCAGATGAGCTGTGTCCACCAGCTGGGCACCCTCTCAGGTGCCTGTCTTCCCTCTCTACGAGACATATGCACACCTGCTTGGCCGCAGGTTGTGTGTACAACCTGCGGGAAGGGCCGTCCACTACAGAAATCAGCCTGACTAGTGGGTAGACCAGGCTGGGAACTCCCATCCCAGCTGCTGAGGACCTGAAAGGGCCATCAGAATTCATGCAGCCCATTTGGCTTCCATTTCCATTCTCACATTACTGATTCCCTGAGCTAGTTGGGACAAAGTATCTGTTGTCCTGTGATAAAATGAACGTAACATAAAATTTAACATTTTGATGCTTTTAAAATATTTACTTTTAATACTTTTAAAATTATGTGTATGTATGTCTGTATATGTGAGTGCCCTGGAGGCCAGAGGCATCAGATCCCCCATAGAGCTAGAGTTATAAGTGGTTGTGAGCCACCCAATGTGGGTGCTGGGAACCAAACTCAGGTCTTCTGCAAGAGCAATAGTGTCCTTAACCATGGAGCCATCTCTCCAGTCCCCACCCCAATATTAATCATTTTAAGTGTGAAGTTTAGTGGTGTGAAATGTATTCATACTGTAGTATAAATATCACCACTAGCAATCTCAGAACTCTTTCATCATCCTAAAATACTAATGGTGTCTCTGTTAAACAATGCTTCCCCATTCTCCTTCTCTTAACCCTGGTCACCTCAATTCTACTTTCCGCCACTCTGAATCTAACCACTGTAGGACCACATATTAAGTAGAATCATACAATATGTGTCCCTTGGTGTCTGGCTTAGTTCACTTAGAATGTCTTCAAGGTTTAACCATGATGTAGCATATGTAAGAACTTCATTCTTTTTCAGGGCTAAACGACATTCAGTTGTATGACCATACTTGTAAGACTGGGTCTCATGTTGTCCAGGCTGACCATTAATTCTCTACATATCTAAAGATGACCTTGAATTTCTGACCTTCTGTCTTTGCCTCCCAAGGCTCACCATCTCAGTAGCTGGGCTAGAGAAACCAGGAGTCTACTTCACACACGAATGCAGAGTACACATTGATTGACTCAATCACTTAAAATCAACACAGAATCATTGATTCGTTCAATCAAGATGTGCTGAGCATCTCCTGAGTAATGGGCCCTCTGCAGATGCTCGGACACAGTAGACACACACACACACACACACACACACACACACACACACACACGCCTTCTTTCTTCTGGGGGTTTTTAGCCCTCATGACTGTTTCCCAGGGAACAATCTGCAATGTCTGGAGAAACTTTTCATTGTTACAACCTGCTATGGGCAGCTGTTGGGTAGAGCACAGATGAGTGGATACCCATCACACAGGGCAGCCTCCTGGGACAAAGAATGACTGGCTTTGAAATATAGTGATGTGAGGAAATATTCTTTACCTAACAATATTTGTGACCAGCACTCAGAAAAGAAGCATGGCTTGGGGTTGGTTTGTCAGTCATGGGGACAACCATCCAGGACAGCGGAGGAGGTAGGAAATGTGAGCCATCTGGAAGAGGAGAGAATGCTGAAACTGGGGCCCAAAACCTGCAGGGGAGTTTTAGGAGGGGGAAAGGGTCTCATTCAGCCCCATGGAGGCTGCTTAGGCCCAGGCTCCCCAACAATCACCTGAGGCTTTCCTCCTAATCTTTATTTGTTCAGTTTTCAGAACAAGGTAGACAGTCTGGAGAAGCCAGAACAATGCTCCTCTAAGATACCCTAATTCTGGGACTCTAGATGTATGTTAAATTAAATGGGGCAGGGTAAGAGTAAACATGGAATTATAGGTAGCAGTAGAGGCATTTCCTTGAACTATCCAGATAGGCCTGGGATAGTTAAACTTCATTGAATTTAGAATAACCCAGGAGGCTGGTGAGGTGCACCTCTGAATGGGTCTGTGAGGATGTTTTGAGAAAGCACTATTTGAAGTGGAACAACTCACTCAGAATGTGTAGCACCATTCCATGGACTGAGGGCCCCAGATTAGGAAAAGAAAAAAGAAAAAGATTAAGGTAGTGTGCTCTCCTCTCTGCTCCCTGGCCCAATGTGATGTAAAGTGCTCTGCTCTAACATGCCCTCCATGCTATCATGAA